TATTTTTATTAACAAGTTTTACCTAACTTCATATTGATATTAATAACTACGACTCTCACATAGATCAAAGCTTTGAATGATAACACTGATATAGTTATGACACAATAATTACTAGCAAGGTAAAATACTCATTGGTAATTGACATATAGTTCCTATCGTTACGAGTTATTTGCCATATTGAATATATATGCATCGTACCCTACAATTTATTATTATTATTTATGTAGCAATGAGCTAGTATTTTCTCTTTAGCGGATTCTATTAGAATTTAAAGTTGAGTAAAAAAAAAAAGGAGAAAATGGGTGATTAAAAAACCATTTAAGGATGATTATTTGTGAGTTTTTAACCAAAGTGTAATCCATCAAATTGAAACTTTAAATTTTTTTTAGTACAATAATTTAGATGTATAAGGGTTTAAACCTCTGACTCCAAGGGAAAGAATAGGTGTCAATCACAACTGAACTATGTTCTTCTTCTTTTTTTTTTTTACCAGTTATATCTATGGCGAAGCTAAACTAAAATCTTAAAGACTAAATTAAAACCTTTAAAATTATAAACACTAAATTAAAATTAAGCTCAAACATAAAAACTAAATTGGTAATTAATTTAACCTAAAGAGCAAGATTCACCCATAATAATATACAATCATTATTTATAGCTTAATTGCCTATGGTTGAAAAACATATCAATACTTTACTTATCATGAAAGTAAAATACAAATTAATAAGCTAACATCAACTTAGTTTAACGATAATTAACACTTCTCCCTAATTTAGCTTAACTTAGATTTTTAGGTTAAATTGCTTTCAACTTTTAGCAACTTACACAAAAATTAATTCAATCAATTAATATATAAAAGTCCAAAGAGATACGTAAATTAAATTGCAAATAAATATAACTCTGACTAATTAAAGAGGAAGAATTGAAGTATTTTACGCCAATATTAATTGTAATGGTTCGACCAAACTCTAATGTACATGCACTCTTAAATAACTTTTAGAAATTTTAATAAATTCAACATTTTTTAACGGGTTCAAAATCACACACTAATTATTTTTATGAAAATAATATTGAAATATTTATGCCACTGTTTATATAGTATCTATTTTAACTCGAGTATGATTCAATTAAACATGCAGGGATGAAAATATTCGAATTCACTGCCTTTTAATTAAAAATATATGATTAACAATCAATTTCATTATTTATCTGTCAAGAGGAGAGAAATCCAAATCTCTTCATTGTTTATTTCAATAAAAGTATTTGTCTCTAATCGAAAACTCCCAAAAGTACTTGTCGATAGATAACCATTAACAGGATTGAACTCATTCCCTCTCATTTTACCTAGCCTCTTTTGACTAATGAGTCACCCACGATGATTTAAGAGAGAATAATTAGTTCTTAAAATACATTATTTATCTGAATAGTCAGGAACAAAGAAAAAAAGAAAAACGCTCTAAACAACTTTGTTGTTTTAGTGTATATTTAAATAGGTCGAGCGACAACTTATGCCTAGCTCAATTGATTAAGATATATATCTCCGACTAAAAAGTAGTGTGTTCAAATCTTCATCCCACATGAATATAGCTTGTACCAAAAAAAAAGGGAAAAAAAACATGAACATAGTTTAGTTGTGATTGATACCTAGCTCAATTGTGATTGAAACGTACTCCTTCCCTTGAGATCAGAGGTTCAAACCTTTATACCCCAAATTGTTGTACTAAATTTTTTTTTTTAATTTGATCTTTATTGTTTGGTCAATCTCAATGAGCTAGTATTTTCTATTTAGCTGATTGTATTAGAGTTTAAAATTGAGTAAAAAAAGGGAGTATAAAGGTTTGTGAGTTTTTATCCCAAGCGTAGAGACCAAATTGAAACTTTTAAAATTATAGTGACTAAATTGAAGTTAAATGAATTTTTTTTAGTACAACAATTTGGGGTATAAAGGTTTGAACCTCTAACCTCGAGGGAATTAAGGAGTAGATATCAATCACAACGGAGCTATGTTCATGTTTTTTTTCTTTCTTTTTTTTTTTTTGGTACGAGCTATATTCATATTGGCAAAGCTAAACTAAAATCTTAAAGACTAAATTAAAACCTTTAAAATTATAAACACTAAATTAAAATTAAGCTCAAATATAAAAACTAAATTGGTAATCAATTTAACCTAAGGAGCAAGATTCACCCATAATAATATCAAATAATTTATTATAGCTTAATTGCCTATCCTTGGAAAACATATTAATTAGCACTTTACTTATCTGGGAAATAAAACACAAATTAATGAGCTGACATTGACACCTCTCTTTAACGTAAGGTCATGAGTTCATACTTGTTATTCAAATTTTTAAAATTTTTAGGTTAAATTGCTTTCAACTTTTAGCAACTTACACAAAATTAATTAAATTAATCAATTAATATACAAAAATTAAATTGCAAATAAATATAACTCGAATAATTAAATAGGAAGAATTGAGATATTTTACGCCAATATTAATTATAATGGTTGGACCAAACTCTATGTACATGCACTCTGAAATAACTTTTAGAAATTTTACTAAATTTAGCATTTTCTAACGGGTTCGAAATCACAGACGAATGAGATACTCCTTACCCTGCACAAGTTTTTAATACATGTCAGGTCAGTCACAGTATTCATCAATTCTATTGCTGTTTTTTGGCGAGTCTCAAATTCATCGTCAAAACATAGTTTGATAATTGCTACCGCTCGTTCATCCATCTCTATCCACTCATTATTTGACATTCCAATGGACGGTCATTCTTTCAGGGTCCTGTGAATCTTCTCGTATGCAAGAAGATTTGTAATCTGGATTTTTCAAAATCCAAAATTCTCCCCTTTAAATCTCAACACTCCCTGAAGGAGTGATGTGATTTCTGACTGGATCTCATAATACTGCAACTTAATACCACTTGTTGGGAAATTAGATGTTCAAAACAATTTCTCCTTCCACAGTTATATCGAATAATTACAAATATCATACAACACAAATGAGAGATTAAAGGAAAAAGCAGAAAACGACACAAGAATTTATATTGGTTTACCCCAACAGTTTATGTGCTACGTCCAGTCTTCCGCTTAGATGCGGGTTCCACTAATAAAGAGATTGGATACAAACACTCAAATATCTCACACCGATATTTACCCTCTAGAGGTCCTAAGAAAAGCCTTCTAGCTTCTAAGTATTTAACATAATATACTTAGGTACAGGAATGCAAAACGCTCACTAAACCCACAGGATACAGACTCCTTTTCACACACTGCCCACAACCACTCAACTCGCTTTTATTTGGAATTGTACAAATAAAACTTTAACAAAATGACTCTTTTTATAGGAAGCCAAATATCCAAATCTTTATAGGAACAACAATAGTATAATCTTTCTAAGAAAACAGCATCCTACCCCTCTTAGGAATCCGTAGTAGTGCTGAAAATTATTTTCTTCATATATATAGGACATGAGTTTCCTCTTTTGGCTCCATTATCCCAACATGTAAATGGTTGGATTTGAGTCCGGAGTGAGTCTTGCTCATTAGAATATGGATTAAATTACTAGTTCGGATACCTTTCATTTGAGCTTAATAATTTTTTAATTTAATTTCTATGACTTTTAAAAGTTTCAATAATAGTTTCAATAATCAATTATTGTGGGGATGTATGTCCAATCGGAAAACACATATGAATTATTTCCTAAGATGATTGAATCAATTCCCTCTCGTATGAATTATCCTAGCCTATTTGGACCAATGAGTCACCCATCATGGTTGAAGAGACATTCTTTATCCGAACAATCAATAGTCAGTAATTCATTTTATAGAACAAAGAAAAAAAGAAAAACACTCCAAACAACTTTGTTGTTTTAGTGTATATTTAAATAGGTTGAGTGTCAACCTATGTCTAAATTAATTGATTAAGATATATATCTCTGATTAAAAGGTTGTGTGTTCGAATCTTCCTCCCACGTGTTGTTGTACTGAAAAAGGTTGAGCATCTCACTTATTTCGGTTGTCTATTTAACACCTTCAAATGATAATCCAAGCTCATGCTGCTAATATTGTTTTAAACAAAATGTTTTGTTTTATTTAACAGACTTCATAGACAAATTACATTAAATTATAAACAGTAAGATATAATACACATAAAAATATAATATATTGCATTTGTCACTTTATTGTATCTTTTTGTCCCATATTTGAAAGAAAGGTTATATAAATATTTTAATAAGTTGAATTAGGTTCAAATTAGCATATCTAACTATAGTTAAATATATAATGCATTAATTAGTTGGGTTATATTCAAATTGTGCAGTCATCTGTAAGTTTCAATATAAACATACTTCAAATATTATTATAATATGTTCTATCCCTTTGGAAAGCAAAAAGCATATTGGAGAGAGCATAAATCAAATATGATAAAATAGGAAGAAAATATAGTCACATTTAGTAATTAATAAGAAAGACAATATACCTTAAAAAAAATGGAAAAGGTAGAATTTGGTAGATTTTTACTTCCAAATGTGTATACTCTACCTTGAAAATATATATATGCCTTATTTCTATAATAATAGATACATGTTATACATGTGGAATGATACGTCAAAGTATGCATAGCTCAACGGTAATTGACATATGCCTCCTATCAAGAGGTTGTGAGAATCGACACCCAAGCAACGAACCTCAATTATAGAGATCCACGGCATAAACCACACAAATATCGATTTCGAGAAATTAACAAAAGAAAAAAAAAGATGGTTTCATTTTTTCTTTTAACTCCAAGCAACGAACCTCAATTATAGAGATCCACGGCATAAACCACACAAATATCGATTTCGAGAAATTAACAAAAAAAAAAAAGATGGTTTCATTTTTTCTTTAACTCGTACCTCATTATATTTTAAAACCTTGCGTCTAAAATTATAGAACTTCACTAATCTTACAAGACACCGTATGACTCTATTATATTTGGTCGCCAAAGAAACATATAGAAAATTAATTATGAGATAGATGACCATCATAGAATTTGAACGCATTCTCTTTCAATTCTCCTGATTTACACCTTATTTAGTAACTATTTTGTAATAAATCTAAAATTTTAAGAACCATCGGAGCTCTTATTGAATTAGATTAGATGTGAGCAGATAAAAACCTTTTGGTTTTGCCCCACAGAAAGTGCTTTTAAACAAAGCGATCGAGAAATTCATCCACAGTTGTATAATTAACATCCGGATACAGCTCTGTGGCTTCCACTCCAAATGATGGTTCAATATCAAAGTTGGTATGATCTCCCTTTACAAAAACTGAGTAAAATATTGACAGCCTCATATTCAGTGGAAATGGAGCCTCTGCCAAAATAATAATAAATCATTAGTTTATTTTGTTAACATGTATATATGAAAGATTAAATTTACCACAATCTATCCATTTAAAAACTTTTAAGTTCAACGGTGATATACAATCTATCAATTTAAAATTTTTTAAGTTCAACGGTGATATACGTCTTATGTTTGAACTCCTGTAACTAATATCATTTCTTCCGTTCTATCCACAAAAACTAAATTTACGAGTACAGATGGATCATCGTCTGCTAGAGATCAAATGTGGCTGAAAATAGAAAAGATAGTATTCAAAAAGCTAACCTTCGATATTCTTCAACACTTGTTCCTCAGGAACATAGATTTTTTGGAGGGTTTTGCCGATTTTTTTGTCCCAAAGGGACGCAAGATCTTTGAAAGAGATGATGTTTTTGGGGGGTCTGACGTAGAGGATTTTGTTCAGAGTTCTTGGGTCATCCACAGCTCTCATAATATACGTCCCTATGTCATGTTCCTCGTTGAATATAGCTGAGATAATACAACAATAAAATTAAAAATAATGATACCAATAAGCTGTGCTAGATATTTTAGAAAAAAGAAAGGTTCGTTTGGTAACGTTTCGGTTTCTTGTTTTTTTTTCTTCATTTTTTAATAAAGAAAAATGAATGGTAGGGGCCAACATCCATAAACACAAATATGATAACACAATCTTTTTATTTATGTTTTGGAACAAATGGGAAAGGAGAACAAGAAATAAAAAACTTGTTTTTGTTGTTTCTAAAATTTCTATATAATTTTAAGAATGTTCCAAAAAAAAAAAAACAAAAAACATAATTAGTTGCAAAATATAATGCTTAGATTTTTTAAGAAAATTAGAAATAAGAAATAATACACGGGAACATCAACAAAAGGGGTCGAAAACCCCTCAATTTTCTTGAATAAAAGACATTTCGAAAAAAACTTGGCTCCTTAAAGTTAGAAGCACCCTTAAATATTTGACAACTAAGAGATAAATGTAAAAAAAAAAAAAAATTAAATATAATGAATTGTTAAATATTTTAAGGATATCAAGGGAGAAGTTCCTTCTTAATTTTATAATTCTAAGGAGCTAAGGTTTTTCCATCCAAAATTGATATACATTGCTAAATTCACGGTTAAAATTAACTTTTTTTCATTATTTTATATGTATTTATGCTCGACATTAAATATTGGATCTGCCACTATTTTAGAATATTATGAAAATAGACAAATAGACAAAAATATATCTTCCATGTTGAATAATTGCTTATAATTCAAGAGGAACACAAGGCAATAAGTTGCCTAATTACAAGAAAATTTTAAAAACATATAATAAAAACAGGGTTAAATTACAAGTTTGGATAAGTGGACTTTGGACACTATCTAATAGGTCTCTATCTCATAAATACTGAACTTTTAAGAAGTACAAAAGTAGTTGAAAATTTTAAAATTTTGTATCTAATGAGCTTTTAACTCATTAAACATTTTTTTTAAAATTAAGTCCATTAATTTGAAAATGTCTAATAGGTGAGATATATATAAAATTAAAAAATTAAAAATATACTTGGTTTCAAGACTAATCTCTTGCCCTACAAGTAATAATCAAATGTTTAACAATGAGAGAAATACAAATACAGATTTTTTTTTTTTAATTTCAAAGACCTATTAGATGCAACATTATAAAGTTAGACAAAACTCAGAAATTTATTAAACACGCCCCCAACAAGTTAATCACTAGTAAGCATCGTAAAGATTGCCCTGCAAAGTTAATCACTAATGAACTTGTAATTTAGCCTAAAAATATCCATTATTTTCTTAGATTAATGGCATTCTAGAAGACCCACATTGGCATGATGCAAATAGACCAACAGACCAAAATATTTGAGATATTGAATGAAAGAAAATTTCTAGTATGGTTACTCTTGACCCATAAGAACCTAATGGTGCACATACCAAACATTATAATATCAACATGAATGTAATTAAGAAAAAGAGGAAATTAGTGGATATTACCCTTGGGATTTCCATCCCCTAAGATAACAAATTTATCTCTGGGTGGAGATGAAGCTTCAGGCTGAGCCAAACTGGGAAGGAACCAACCAGAAAATAAGTTGGAGGAGACAAAGGTGAAGGGAATTTGAGCAGCCTCCACAGCTCGCCGGATTTTAGCCTTTGCGGCGAAGGCTGATTTTGCTGGCGCCACGCCATGGACACGATCCACATCATTCCCATACTCTGAAGGCAAAAATCTCTGCTCCCACACACAGGAACAGTTACTCAGAGTCAAAGACCTCTACAACTTATGTTTCTTCAACATTAAACATTAAAAAGTAAACCTTGCAATTTAACCCAATAATAATAAAATTAGGCATATGAATCTACTAATTGTATGGTATGAATAAAAATAGAATTCTGATAAGTGACCATATCGATATTAAATAAATTCGACTAAAAGCATATGGTATAATATGATTAATTGAACAATAAAAAGGAGAATTTACTTGCAAAGAGACAAACAATTTCAATACAAAAGCAAACCTAAATTAAACTCTATTTCCGATCTGTAAATAAGCAAATGAAATTTTTCAAGATTAAGAAACGAGTGCGACCTTAACGTTGCCGGCTTCTACGATGGCAGAGACGATTCTGTCTTGATCGGCTAACTGAGCGTGACCGACGGTCGATATCACCACATCCACTTGTTTTATCGCCTTAACCAGACTCTCATGATCGTACATATTGCCCTGAAAAGTTAATCACGAATTCTAATTACAGTTCACAGATTTTGAAATTGAAGCAATAATCAATCTGCTCTGTTCTGAAATCCTCCAGTTCCGATCCTAGCGTTTCTTTCCCCAAATGAAGATCAAAATGCAAAATCGATAAACAAGAATTTGCATAACGGTTTCTTCCAATCGATTTTAAGACCTAATTAATTTCACTCAGAAGTGTAGCAGTAGATTACGGTAAAAACATATGTGCAATTTCAAATTCCAATCTCCCTTCCTTTTTTCGGCAATCGGAGGTTCAGAAGTGACTTACAGAGAGAAAATTGACGCCGAAGCTCCTGAAATTGGCGATGATCTGAGATTTGGCAGGAACGGAGAGAGTGGAATCTCGGAGAAGAACATAGGTCGGATGCCCAGCCTTAGCGCTCGCCTCCACCACGAACTTGCCAACATAGCCGGTGCTTCCGATGAACAGAATCTTGCTTTTGACGGCCATTCTATTGAAAACTCCGGCGAAGAATCGCGAATAGCGCCGGAAAACACAGAGAAGAAGAACGGAACGCGACGAACAAAGAAAGCGTAGGAAATGGTTTTGGCGGCACTTGAATCTGGAAATTAGACGTTGCCGCGCGGTTAGTTTTATAGGAGAGACTCCTTGGTTTAAATATATTTAAATTTAATTTAAATTTTATACTTTCACGGCTTCCGCTCGGTTTGGTGTATACTTTTAAAATTTTAATTTGAGTTTATTTTAGTGTCGGTAATTTCTCAATATTTATCTTACTTACGGTACTTTTAGAAAAAAAATGCACATATTCAAATTTATTCCAAAAATAATGTTGGAATAAGTTGGATGGGTTATTTTAGGTGCGAAAGATGAGACGATCATATTAGGCGCGAAAGATGGTGATCTCTTAGATCTCTTGCAAACATGCTTGTAACCCAAACAATTTTCTTTTAATTTATCAATTCATGTTTAACCTTTATCTTTTTATTTATAATTATTTTTTCTTAAAAGTTAATTTTAAATTTACGTTAAATTTTTATTTTAACTAAATTTATAATAAATAAACTAAATTTTATGTTAAATTTTTTCTTCAATAATTATAAATATCTATTGTAGTTCAAATTAAAAAAATATATAAAAAATCGGAGAATAATGTTTTACGTTTATATAGATAAAATAATTATTAATGTCAATTTACAGCTTATCCATCTAATCCGCCCCACAATAGGGACGTCGCCGATTAGATGTCGCTGACAACGAACCATTGGTGCTGCTAGTGTCTCTCAGTCCTCCACAAGATCTCGATCCTCTGTAGGGTTGAGGTATTGCCCATGCTCCCCAAGTCCACATTCATGGCCGACTCTATAACCATACTGTGGTGGCAAAGGTGGTGTGCGATACTGACTAGAATCAGGAGTTGGTATCATCACCATAGGCGTGGACAGACCGACATCATCCTGTGTCTGTGTAAATGGTGGAACGTCCACGACGTTATGATAAATAACTTCAGGTACAAGATCGTCAAGCTCTATTGGAGCATCCTGATCTACTTGACGACGTCCTCTACGCCTAGGACCACAAGCACGAATGGGCACTTTATACATCTGATGAAGGCTTTGAAGATGTCTCTCACCAACGTTACACAATCTATTAATATCTTCCGATGACGAGAGAATACTTATTTGCTCGAAACACGCAAGTCTACATGAAAAAAATAGAATTTAACAAATATATATTTAAATTCGAATAGTTTATATAACCAAATTAAAAATTGTACCGTAGCACCAAATGTTGCTCCTTCTCGAGTGATATATCGCCTAGTGATTGATAAATACCAACTCATGTATTCTGGATTGCAAGCACCATCATCGTCCATGGGAAGATTTTGATGATAATATAATCTCTTTGCATGTGTCACCTCGCCACAAAAGGTGCAGTTTGATTCTGCCATGTTCTATCTCGAATGTCTACGTCATGTATCATCGGTTTCCAGCTGGGCACTTTTGGAATTGCTTGTTTCATACCAAAAGCATATGAGTGGACACAGTAAAACCTCAACTTGACGGTCCATCACAATCAACTTCATTTACACCATCAATAGTACCTCTATTCGTATACACTATAATCACCAAAATTTAGCTATCATTTAAATCCTAAATGAGAAAAAGAGATCTTCAATTGTAATTAAATCTAACTACACTAATCAAATGAACTAATTTTAATTATAATACAAAAAAGATATAATCTTATAATTACTTAAATTTATTTAATAAAAAAACTACTCATGACATATAAACTAATTAAACAAAAGAGATATTAAATAATAATTACATCTAACAACACAATCAAATAAACTAATTATATTTATAAAACCAAAAAATATATAATCTCATAATTACATAACTTTATTTAATAAAAAAACTAACCACTCAAGACATATAAACTAATTAAATTAAAAAAATATATTAGTTAACAATTAAATCTAACTACACTAATCAAATAAACTAATTTTAATTATAATATCAAAAATGTATAATCTTATAATTACTTAAATTTATTTAATAAAAAAACTATTCAAGACGTATAAATTAATTAAATAAAAAATATATTAATTAACAATTAAATCTAACTAAACTAATTATATAAAATAATTTAGATAGAGTCAAATAAAAAAATACACATAAAAAAACACTAACATACAAATAAATAATAAAATAGAATAATAATAAAGAAAAAATAAAAGACAAAGCATAAATACCTTAAAGTGGTCCCTAACAAACGAACTGGTCCGTTGGAAGAATCTAAAAAAACAATAAACAAAACAAAACAATGTTTTTTAGTTAGATTATATAAGTAAAGGGAAAGAAAACCAAAAAACAAAACAGAACCTATCTATGAGCGCCGGACGTCAGACGGCAGAGGAAGAACGATGGCGGATGGTGAAGGAAGGACGACGACGGCAGCCGGAGGGGCAATGACGAATGGAGGAGAAGGGAATAAAAAGGCAAGTGGGGTAGGGATTAGGGTTTTAAAAAAAATGTGCATGGTCTCTCGACCACACGTGTCTTTCATGCATGATGCAGAGACGATAATCTTTTGTGCCTAATATAGCGCCCACGTACGATGGTCGTCACTCATCTTAGGCGCGAAATATGGTGGTCTCTAAACAGAAGATCAAGTCCCACCAATTCTATTCTAGAAATATTTTTGGAACTAATTTGAAAATGTGTTTTTTTTTTCTTTTATCGATTAAAAAATCATTATTTTAAAAATACGTTTAATTTAAAACATTATTAAACCTATTTTTTAAATGTAGATCAATGGATAACTTCGGTGAAAATTTGAATGAATTAAAAAAAATAATAATTAATAATCAAATGCCTAATCCAGAAACATTAATTTTATTATTAACAAGTTTTAACCAACTTTTTTACTAAATAACCTAGAGAATTTTTTATGCATTAAAAAAGGTTTAAAAGATAAAAAATAAAATTACTTCAGAGATTAAGGGCTATTTTATATATTTATCAATAATGTCACAAATAATTGAATATTATTTCAATAAAAATATCTGTTCTAATCATAAACTCCCAAAAATAGTGTGATATATTGAGATTCTAGAGTTTTTTTTAATTTAAATTCTAGGGTTGTCCTCGGTCTGAGTCAATTATTATAGTATTTTGGCATTTAATATCTCAAAGTCTTCCTCTTTAATTTACTGAATTGTAATTATTGCAATTTAATTTTTGCTTGTTGACTTTGTATATAATTAAACTGTTTAGGAAAGCTATGGCGTATATTTCGAATTATTTTTTTTAAGGTCATGAGTTCGAACCCCACCTAGAGCATATCTCCACTGATCTATATATTATTTACCTTTTCATCAAATTAAAAAATATAATAATTGGAAATCAAAAGCGACTCCAATATATTCATGAAACAATAATTTTTGTTTTTATTAACAAGTTTTAACTAATTTTATATTGATATTAATAACGACGACGAGTTTAAACATCACGAAAATATTTACATAGATGATCATTAGCCATCACAAAAATCTGTACATTGACACGAAAACCTTTACATTCACAATAGATTTAGTGTCATCAAATAGCATCGTGTTAATTTAGTGTAGCCTAATAAATTTAATGACATAATTCGTTGACAAACTTTGCATTGATTTGTACTTATAAATTCTAAAATATAAGTGGTATATATTAAAATCAAATCATTTATATACATATATGAACTAAGATTATGCTTTTTTCCGTCAA